CCAAATGATATTATGACCAAATTTTGTATAATTCAAATGATGAGTACGGGTTCAAATTTTTACAATTGTATTAAAACTGTTAAAATATAATATATATTAGTCTAGTAAACTTATTATCAAATTCCATGAGTGCCACAATGGTCAAATGCTTAATATCTTACCATGAAGTCGGGGGGTTCAAATCCTCTTCCTCATTGTATTTAATTTTGGCAAAAATTGTAGAATTAAAAACATTTCACAATAAAATTGTTGGGAAAGGGATTCAAAACTGGAACCTCTCATGTGAATATACAAGTTCTTGCAGCTGAACTACAAGAAATGTATGAAAAAAAAAAAGAACTTACAAGGTATATAATCTCAAATGTTTTTTCATTGTAAAAAATATATATATATATATTGTTCGGGCGGATCCAACAGGGGCGGCCGTCGGGCTCGCATGGTGCTGGATCCGCCCCCGAACTGAACCTATAATGTTGTCACCGAACTCCATGAACTAAAATTCGTCCTAATATTAAGAGTTGTAAACACACGAGACCTCATTTCCTTGGGTATTGGTACCTAATCATGTGCTCGTTTAGTTTCTAATTACTTGCAACAACACCCAAAATTATTTTATGTTTTGAAGCTGAATTTATCAAGTGTCTCTTACTCTTTTCTTTCTTCCAATTATTGAAGTTTGAATCATTGAATCGAGAAAGTAGTGCCTGAATCCATCCATAAGAAGTTCTCACCAATATCGACCATGCAGCCTGGTCCGCCCCTAAACTGAACCTATAATGTTGTCACCGAACTCCATGAACTAAAATTCGTCTTAAAATTAAGAGTTGTAAACACACGAGACGTCATTTCCTCGGGTATTGGTACGTAATCATGTGCTCGTTTCGTTTCTAATTACTTGCAACAACACCCAAAATTATTTTACGTTTTGAAGCTGAATTTATCAAGTGTCTCTTACCCTTTTCTTTCTTCCAATTATTGAAGTTTGAATCATTGAATCAAGAAAGTAGTGCCTGAATCCATCCATGAGAAGTTCTCACCAATATCGACCATACACCCACTTTCAAGAAGTCTTTGCACATAATGACGACATTGCTGTTATAGTACAATATTTATTAATGAAATCCTATTCAATTAAAATAATAATAATTAGGTTCATTAAATTTGTATGTGCTCCAAAAATATTAGTGCCAAGAGGGTTAGCAGTGGGCCAGGGCAAGCGATGGTGGTGCTATTAAAGAGAGAGAGAATCAGTTTAAGAGCAATACCACCAGGCCTAGCTACAACGATAGTTCTAATTTTCTCTCGGCACAAAGAATTTGTAGCTAAAGAGATTCAAAAGTTTCTTAATTTTAGAAATACTAGGTGCAAGTTACGTGCAATGCACGTTTGCTTAGTTAATATTTAATATTTTTGTTTAATAATTAATTTGTTATTAATAAGATGTAATTTTTTTTGGTTAATTAAGGGCGTGGCTGCAAGGAGAAAGGAAAATTGATTTGTTACCGTTATTTTTTCAAACCTACAGCTCTACAGTGAGAGAATTGGTCCAAAATTGCGACTCCCAACGACATGAATTGTGTTGCCAACAGCTTGATATCTGCTGAAAATCAGAAACAGACACCCTATAAATAATTAATGATGAAAAGTTTATGTAATTGATAAATA